TTAGAACAAATTCCGGGTTAGTTGCTAGGTCGTCGGTTTAGGTTTCTTGACTTTCCGTGAGACATATCGTTCTCTGCCTCAGAAGTAACTCGAGAGAGAGAAATAACGAAAGCTTCGAGTTTTTGAAAATAGCGATTTGTCTCTCGAAACGGCAAGAAACCTAAACCCACAACTTGACAACCGGCCCGGAAATTGTTCTACCATTAACAACTGCCTACAAATCAAATAAAAGTAGCTTTTATAATTAAAACATACTGATAAGAAATTTGAACTGGAATTAACAACAACAACAACCACAACAACAACGAAACGTAAACAACTTGTCAACTTGTAAACCTCCAAGTAATATACATTTTTCTCATCTTTTTCTAAATTCCTTATACACAGACGAGATCGTTTATGGTGCCAACAGCTTCATGAATTTGCTTAACTAAATCAATCTTATTGTCAAAATCGTTTGAATACACTTTTTGCTTTAGGTATCCCCATAAGAAGTATGTAATCTAATGGGGACAAGTCGGGTGCAGGGTCCCTATTCTTGACGCTAGTAGAATAGAACAGTAAAGAGAAAGTGGGCGTGGTTCTCTCAAGAATTTAAAACCCGTATTCTTGAACTATGTTCTATTGAAAAGCAAGAGAATAAAATGCTCCCTAGGAAACAAATGTATCTCTTCCACATTTGTGAGAGAATGCAACAAGGGAGCTTAATTCTAACCACAGAAAAAGGATTCTAACCTGAAAATTGTGTTAATTACTTGTCATCAAAAAATGGATTTAAATGAATTACTAATTTGGAATAATATTCAACAAGATCTTCAAGACGCTGAAGAAGACCTAATAATAGGTAGAGAAGTATTACTTAAAAGAGATCCATTTAACACTCTTTCAGATCGTAAATTTATTCAAAACTTTAGACTGACAAAAGAATTATGTCGAGAAGTCATTGATTTGGTGACTCCATTTATTGAACAACCAAACCGTAGATCAGCATTACCAGTGAAATTAAAGGTGAGAAAATATAATTTTAAGGTAGATTAAATATGCCACAGGGACAGGACATTTATACTGTCTTACGTTTAGGTTCTCGCTGCTTTAAAATTTTATGGGTTTGGAAGTTATCAAGAGATAACAGGCAGCAATGCTTACATTGGCATAAGTCAAGCGTCTGTTAGCAGAAGCATTGAAGATGTAACAAATGCGTTAAATGAACCTGAAATTATGAATGCTTGGATTCATTTTCCCAGAAACATGGAAGAGTTGGAGTCTGTTCGAACAAGGTAGAATCCTGCCTCAGTATTTCATATTACTTAAAAAGTTAGTGTGGTAGATTTAAAAGACATTAAGCTACTGTAAAAACATGTAACTGAATATTTTTAGGTTTTATGAAAAATACCATTTTCCAGGAGTCATTGGGTGCATTGATTGTACCCATATTGCCATCATTGCTCCACCTGTAAACCACCCCATTTATCCTGAACACATTTATGTGAACCGAAAACATTACCATTCGCTTAATGTCCAGCTTGTAAGTACCTAAATATAAATAAAATACTGTTACCAGTAAAAGATTTTGCAATTATTTATAACGCCTTCAGCAACACTGCAAATTACAAATATAAGTAGGTAACTGAAAGTATGATTGCAATACATACATACGTGTCAATGTATAGAATGAAAACAGTACTTACAAGAATGTCACAATTTTTTTCTAATTTTGGTTTCACTGATGGAATTATTTATATTTGTAATGGTTTAATGAAGAAATGTGAAAGCTCTCAGTGTTTTATTAAATTTTAGTCCTTTTTTTTTGTTTTAGATTTGTGATTGTGATTTAAAAATTATGAATATTAATGCTCAATTTCCTGGTTCTACCCATGATGCCCATATTTGGCGAACTTCACGTGTGTCCCAAGTGATGGAAGGCATATATCGACGCGATCCTGGAAATGTTTTTTTTCTTATAGGGGACTCGGGTACAATAATATTTAATTATACTAATAACACTTGTCCCTAGTTCAAATTTTTAAATGCTTACCTAAATTTTATGTAAAGAG